ACCTGCCCCCAGACCAAACTCACACTCTACAAGACGCTGATACTACCCGTGCTGTTATATGGATCTGAAGTATGGGTACTTACGCAAGCAGATGAGGCAGCTCTTGGAGTGTCTGAGAGAAAAATTCTCCGAAAGATCTATGGGTCGATCTGCGTTGACGGTGAATATCGCCGTCGAATGAACCATGAGTTGTACCAGTTATTCTCGGACATCGATATTGTTATACGTATTGAGCCGCAGTGACTACGTTGGCTAGGTCATGTTGTGAGAATGGATGAAGATTCCCACCCCAGAAGGCATATATAAGCGAACCAGCTGATGGTTAATACGATGGAAAGATCAAGTCGAAGGCAACATTGCCGAATTGGTTTTTCAAATTGGGAAAACTGCGCAAAAGACCTACCCGCCTGGATATCGTTTCTAAGCTCGGCTTATGGAACGAAGGTTCTATAACAAGCCAGCTTAGTAAGTAAAATAAGGCGTATATTTTTAATGAATATTTTTCTAAGGCCAATAATAAGGCGTAGATTTTCGAGGAATAGTTTTCAAAGGCCTATAATAATGCGTAGAGTTTTAATGAATATATTCATTATGTATTAACAATGATTATTTCCATTCCATTACTAACTTTGTATCGGAAATAATTTCCCTTTTTGATTTCCTCTTAAAATAGATTTTTATCAAGGCTTCATATTGTGTTTTTACCATCAGGAATGATGGTATATTTCTGGTATCCAAGGTTAGGTTGTTCCAATAGTAGATACCCTACGAAGCAAATGAATAAAATAAAATCAAATAATAGAAATAAAAATATCCCCCTACTCACCTTCTTGAAAGGAAAACTTTTCGGCAGATTGCCATATTTCCAAAAATTATGTATCCAGGCAGTTAAAAATTTCCCCCTACCCTTGTCCAAGAGATCACACACATTTGTATCATATTGTAGTAGACGTCGCAGCTTCTGCGTTCCAACATCTTTAATGCTCAACGTTAGCGCTATCCATGGATCGTGATCAAAGGTTTTGGCAATTTTCAAATAAATATTCAACGAATCATTGCCAGGATTAATTTGAACCGTATACACTTCTAAATAGGCGTTATTATAGGATTTTGCAATTGATACAGCATGCATGCCTTTGCTTGTTATTAGTTGTGGTAGTAGAAGGGAAATTAGTAGAGTCCGCAAGGTTGATCGTTTCAGCATTTTTTAATTGATATTCGAATGGTCAATGAGCTCATATGTATTTTGAACGGAATGTTTTTTGGTTTCGGCAAATTATTATGGAAAATAATTATAAAACAATGACTCTAAATATCATATAATCCAAAATTAATAATTATAAACAGATGCGGCAGGGACGAACTTTTTATACCCTCCATGGATTTTTGAAAACTGGCTTCTAGAAAGTTGATTATGCTCTAAGAAAATTTCAGACAATCGGGTTAGAGGACTAGGTTAGAAACTACAGCGAGACCTTTGTATGAGGGACTAAGTAAAAACTTGGATATGTAGTGGATATTTTCAGGACAGATCTTTTCTAATTCACAAGGCAGCCGAAATTTCAAATTATATTCACATCCATGGGGAAATGCAGCTAAAACTTTGAAAATATAAAATATTGGTCAGGATCTGCAAATAGGTTTCTCACCCTTCAAGAAGCCTGGAATGCATATTGCAGATTTTTTGATGAGAATATGCGACTAAAACTATTCAAGAACGGAACTATTCATGAACGGAAAATACCATCAAAGTACCGAAAACATGATCTACAAATGGTCTACACTTTTCTACAAAGTTTTTTATTTATTCTCCAAGAACCCGGAATGCCAAATTACAGCCAAATAGGAAATGCGACTAAACCCTATAAAATATAGAAAATTAGGCGACACCATTATATAGAGGATATGTATGGACCCAAAGCGATCATTTTCTGCAAAGATGTTTTCATCTTCCAAGAATCCGGAAAGACGAATTACATTATCTTCCATTGGTAAATGCAGACACAACTTTCAAACTACAATAAATAAGTCGGAAGCTACGTCAAAACCTTCACCCTTATCGAAAATTTTTTACAAAAATGTTTGTTTCCCTCCAAGAACGCTGCTTCTTATTTCTTTATATAAGAAGACCAGGTCAAAACGAAGCGTCTGAGATCAACTTCGTCAGTCAGGAAAAAGTCTTTCAGGTATCGGTCAATGATTTGGTTTTCACTTTCTCCCTCTCAATCCTAACATCGTCGATACAACCGAAGCAGTTTGTTGCGCTAAGTCGGCCTTTTCACGGCTGATTTCCGTTAGGTTCCATTGATGTCAGCATCAAAGCGAGCTCATCTTGCTTCGCGTTCGCCCCTTTGTATAATGTTTGGGACTCGTCAAGGAACTGTTTCACTATCAAAACCCTGGGACTGGAGTTTTAACAGTAGACCAGTTTCATTCAAACGTCACGTTGAAGGTTCTGGTTGAGTAGATATCCCTGGCTCCATTTCCCAAGTGGAATAGTAATTTTTTCATAAAAAACATCCTAAATTATGTTATCCGGATAGGTTATGGTGTCTTTAAGTTTTGATATCGGAGTAATTATTAGTAGTGACTCGTCTTCCGAAAGTAGCGTGTTCTATATTTTTATTGGTAGACGGTAGAACGAATCTATTTAGACGGTAGAACGAATCTATTTTCATGCAGAGGTCCATTGATGTGGTTAAGTTGGGGGTTCCACCTCATCCCCTGCATACGTCCATGGCAATCATGACATCATCCTCATCCGACAAGGCAGAATCATCCCAGAGGTAATGGGGAATGTTTTGCTATCCCAATTTTCTCAAGCCTGAGGCTCCAGATATCAAGATGGCTCAGTTCGAATTCAGTCGGAGCCATTCGGTGCAAACCGGGAATCTCTGATCAGCGTTAAGAAGCTCATTTTAGATAGGAAGTGACATAAGATCTTATGTTGAATTGGTTATTGGTTGGGCGCCAGTTCCACCTCAACGATTTTCGTATCATGGTCATTTCCTACGAGAGTCTTCCCAAAAATCCGCTGACTGCACTCGACTATTTATTTTCAGGGTTTGAGGTCTACCAGCTAAGCTTGAAAAGTATGTCGAGGCTACCAGATATCAACATGACTCCTTTTGAATTCAGTTGGTATCCTGAGTGCAAACTGTAAAAAAATGAGTACGCCTAACACCTAACATCCCAGACCTAGGGAGTTCCCTTTAGAGTTATACGACTTAAGATCTTTAGATTGTGAAGCAGTTCCATTTGTATTTATTGACTGAGGGTCCCAGATATCAAAATTGATCCATTCGAATTAAGTCGCTACCCGGATAGTCGCCTAACACAGAAACAAATATGTTTGGGCTCCGAGATATCAGCATGGCCGATTCGAATTTAGTCGGTACCATGAGTGCAAAACCCGTGAAGCACTGAAGGACCTTAGGACACCTAATACTCAAGCGTAAGGTGGTCTCTTTATAGGACCTTTCCTTGGAATTTTTTCCCCAAAAATCTAATTTGGAGGGTTTGAGGTTGACCTAGGTATGGACTTGGCAATTACGTCCATGAAAAATATGGTCCACAGCCATCAACAGTGATATTTTTGAAGGTAGGATTGTAGTATTGGTTATTTAGGTCGATCATGACATAGTATCTAACGATGAAATGGACAGCTAAGCCGGTTGAGGCTCTCATGCATCAACAAAACTGAAGCGCAGAGGTCCTCAGTGTTAGGAAGATGACGTTAGGTGGGATGTGACCTAAGATATCATTTAGAATTGGTTATTTAAGTCGATCATGACATAGTATCTAACCAAGGAATGGACAGCTATGCATGCAGCAACAAGGTTCCTTTCAAATGCAGTAATACCACAGCTTGATATAGTTCATTTTAGGTAGGATATGGCATAAGACCTAAAGTAGACTTTAGTATTGGTTGGGTGCCGACTGTTTTGAGGTCGATAATAGCACAGCCTTTTATCAGGGCAAGAACTAGAAAATGATCTAAAATATCATGTAGAATTACTTATTTGGTCGACCACGCTGTAGTATCAAACCAAGGAATGGACAAAGTTCCCTTCGAATACAGTAAGACCCCATCATTAGGAAGTTCATTTTAGGAGGGAAATGACCTACGACCTTATGTAGTCTTTGTTATTGGTTGGGCGCCAATTTCGCCTTCGACAATCTTGGGATAAAGGGCTCTCGGTTATTTCCTCAAAGTCTGACTGTTTGAGATTGACAATAGCATAGTAACTTATCTTTGCAAGGACTTGGCAGCTGACCTTGAAAAACTTGTTGGGGCACATTGTAAAATGCTCCGTTCGAATATGGTAAACCATCAGCATTATGAAGGTCGCTTGAGGTGGGATGTGACTTAAGACTATATTTTGAATTGGTTATTGATTGGGCACCAATTCTGCTTCTATGATTTTAGATATAATGGGCAATCGGTAATTTTCCTGAAGTCTCTTTCCTAAAACATTCTGATTAATTTGTTGGGCTTTTCACTATCCAACAAATTGTGGACACGTGCGATTGGATTCAGCTTTGCTTTCCGGAAACGAACAGTAGCTTGCTCATGAATGATCATGTGGAAGAAATAAACTATGAATGGAATTATAAAAAACAAACATGTCTGAATTGTGTAGGACGGCAAATTCAAGCTAGGTCGTATTTATATGAGCTCTAATAATAATGCCATTTTAATTGGCAATTTGCAGGTTAATATACATGGTGCATATCAATTTTCAATTCTTGTTGAATTATTAACATCTGAAATCAATAGTGTTTTATTGTCTCGGAAAAGTTGAATTTTCAAAATTTTAAATTTTGCAACTAAAATGTTATTGAAATTACTAATTCCTATGGTCCTATTAAATCTCAGCCAAATTGGGGCTCACAAAGCTGTTTATGCCGTTTCAATATCGCTGAACTTCAATATTAACTTCAATATTAAAATACCTAAAACATATGTATTGGACCCATGGTTGAGGATCACAATTAAAATGCGAAAAACAATACATTCGAAACAATCTCGACAACTGCTAGAATATGATATAAATTTGTGTCAATTATTGGGACGGGGTCAGGGTAAATTTTTAACCGCCTGGGTTCATAACTTTTTGAAATATGGTAATTTGCCGAAAAGTTGTCCCATCGAGAAGGTAAGTATTTTAATGGAATTTTTTTCATAGATAGAATAGCTTTTGTATTCTCTTTTTTTAAGGGTGAATATTATTGGAATAATCTGTCAGTGGATACGAAAAATATACCATCGTTTGTGATATCATCGGCTTATTATGAGGCAGCAATTAAAATATATTTTAAAAAGCGATAAAAAATGGACATGATATCGAATACAACGTTGTTAATGGAGTGGAAATGAGAGGGGGTTAGAAGGAGTAACATTTTGTAAATATGTTTGATATTGTTATGATTGTAACACTTTGAAATATTTGTCGAAGATCCCATTACGAATATATGTTATCTCTGTATATAGACAAACCGTAGGTCAACCTTTAAATTTCTTTGCAGGTCTTCAACGGAATCGATGACTATTAAATTTTTGAAGGTTTGTCAACAATGTTTCAACCAACAAATTTTACGAAGAAAGCTAAGTTTCTGAAGCTGTTCGACCTTTTTCGGTTCGCTCCGCAATGAAGTAGGCCATTCATTTACTTTCATTGTTCATGGGTAGATGTCAGTTAATTCGGTCAATGAATGGAAAGATCTAAATGGAAGGCTGATGCAAATAGGTGAACGATTGAATCGGATCTAGTACCGATCGTGCCTTTTGCTGAATAGTTTCTTTGAACTCGTATGACCCAACTCTAAATTTATTAGAAAAATATTCTTTAAACCGGTAAGGAAAGTAGTAAAGTCGGACTGGACCGACTATATGATACCCTTTCGGTACTTTCGGTATATTGTACATATCGACGCCTCCGAAGAATAGTATGCTAAGTCTGAAAAGTGAGTTTTTCAGCAGAAGCCCTCAAAGTGTGAAAGTTTTTTAAATCTTACGTGCCATGCTAAGTACATTTTTGCTTATAAATTTGGTTTGGATTGGCCGATGATTACCAAAATTTCAGAGAATTTAAATTAAGGACCGTAGTATCTAAAAACGTAAAGAACTTTAAAACATGCTAAGTCGACTTAGCATACTACGGTTCGGAGGCGTCGATATGTATCCTAACAATTGTATGACAGTGTTCCCTCGAAGGAACATACTCATGTCTTTCTAAATTTAATGTCATTCGTGCACATTTAGAGTCGTCTGCGTACCGTGGGGCTAATTTATGGAAAACGATTTATAGCAAAATTGATACACGCTATTGGGTACGACGCACTGTTAAAAATTTAATTTAAATCAGACACCCGATCGCAATACATATGGAAGCTATGGCTATATCTGCACCAATTTCAACATACCACAATAACGTCATTCAAGTCTCAATTTGATACGTAGTGCAAAATTTCGTTTTAGGAGTTTAGTGCACCATTTATGTAAAATCGGACGAAAATATATATAGGAGCTATATTTAAATCTGAGCCGATATTTACGAAACTTAGCACACATCATTCGTTGGGCCAATTTTCGTGCAAATCGAACGATATATAGGGACATTGGTGCACCATTTACATTAAATCGGACGAAATATATATCGGGCTATATTTAAATCTGAACCGATTTTCACGAAACGTAGCACATACCATTTCTATGGCATGGCACATACCATTGTAGACTCAATTCAGTACGCTATGCCAAATTTGGTACAAATCGAAGAATATTTAGGGTCTTTGGTGCACCATTTACATTAAATTCGACAGAAATATATATGGGAGCAATATCTAAATATTAACCGATTATCACGAAACTTAGCACACATTATTCTATTCTTAATTCAGTACGCCGCACAGTGGGTTAGAGTACCATGTTTTCTTGGATCAAATCAGGGAAGCTATGTAAGAATAATTTTTCTTTATTTTTCAGTTAATACCATTAAAATAAGTTAAAAAATGTTTTCTAAGTATATTTGAGTATAGTTTTATTAAGTAATGCCAAATATCAGTGTAGGTATATAGTGTAAGGAGTACAATATGATAACATAAACATTGAATTTTATATATCTTAAAGTTAATCATCCACATCATCATCATCCATGCAGCCAGGGATGGTCCGTATGACGAATTTTCAGGTTTTCGACTGTCAAAAAGGTGTAAACGTCGAAAACGTCATATACCTGTATAAAATGTAGTAAACGTCATTTATTTCAATATTATCACCATATACAGTAATTTTCAAGAACATATATTATTTTTAATGTATATCTGGCTATTCTTTACTAGAACTGATAATAAATTCTGAACTTTTTTAAGAAAAAAATTTTGAAATTCGATAAATGTAAATAGATATTTTATCAAAAACCTAATGGTTTTGAGTGGGTTTCCGACGTATGTATTATACGTCGGAAATGTATGTCATTAACGTCACGGTTTCTGACAGGCCATCTATGTCGGCAGCATCACCAACTTCTGATAACTGCTCAATATGTAAAAGGGCATTTGACACAATTTCGAATCCGTGAATAAAAAACTTGTGCAAAGTGGTAGGCATATTATACAAAGGATACGTTTCAACAAAAAGTCGTCCTGTATTGTGTGCTTATATTTGAAATTTTTCACTATTAATCTTATGGCCACTGGATACAGCTATAACCGACACGTGAATTGTTTATTAAATTAACATCTATTTTTGTTATTTCGGTAGATTTTTTTTAGCGTTTTGGTGCGTTTTTTTTTTTTTTTTTTGATTTCTTTAGCTAAAAATGTCATCTTGTCATTCATTGTTTGAGCCCTCGAATTCACCATAAGCTTCGACGATCATAAAAAACAGCTTTCGAACTTGTATCTATAAAAAATGCTAATAAAAAACCCTTTTACCCGATTACTTGAAACTGCACAACACTATCACTATTTGTCAAAACAAAGAATATTATTAAAATAAACAAAAACAAAATATTATTGTAACAAAGAATATTATTAAAAGAAACAAAAATAACACCAATAAAATAATTAAAAATAACATGAAAAATAAGAAAACACAACACTCAACAACAGCACCAGTCACGAGATCAATGTGACTTTTAGCTAATTTGACTGCTGCAACACTTGTATTAAACAATGCGTAGCTTCTAAAAGGCACAAAAGGGCAGCGTAAAATTTTGCAATATGACACAGATTTATGTCCTCTTTAAGATAAACCAAAAATTATGAAACGAATGTGGACGAATAATAACTATTTATCCATTTAAAATATAGAAATATTATTTTTTTTGGCATTTTCAATATAAATAACTACATTTAAATCACTTCCAAACACAATTTGATACTAAAATGTTAACGAAATATTTGCAAAATAACCTGAACTTCATGGTTCCATTGAAAAATGTTTAACTTTTACAATACTTTTTAAAATAAATAAAATTTTCTAGGGGAACTTTTTCACTTTTTTCAGCCTTTTTTGGCACAAAAATTTCTATAAAGTTTGACTTTGAAGTTTCACTACAAAAACACCAGACCACTTTTGACATTTATTTTAACGACAGGTGTTACAGAATTTTATATACTGTAACCGGGTGCAAAAAATTTTAACGATACTTAAAATTTTATTTTTTAATTAATCCAAGAAAACAGGGTATTCTAACCCACTGTGCGCCGTGCAAAATGAAAGATAAATAGGGACATTGGTGCACCATTTGTCTTAAATCGGACGAAAATATATATGGTAGCTATATCTAAATCTGAAGCGATTTTCGCGAAACTTAGCACACATCAGTCTAGTACTAATTTAGTACCATGTGCTAAATTTCGTGCAAATCGAAAGATATATAGGTCATTGATGCGTTATTGACATTAAATCGGTGGAAAATATATATGGAACTATATCTAAATCTGAACCGACTTTTACGAAACTTAGCACACATCATTCTACTCTTAATTCAGTACACTGTGCAAAATTTAATGCAAATCAAGAGATATATAGGGACTTTGTTGCACCATTTAACTTAAATCGGACGAAAATATATATGAGAGCTATATCTAAATCTGAACCGATTTTCACGAAACTTAGCACACATCATTCTTGGCTTAATTCAGTACACTGTGCCGAATTTCGTGCAAATCGAATAATCTACAGGGTCTTTGGTGCACCATTTACCTTAAATCGGACGAAAATATATATGGGAGCTATATCTAAATCTGAACCGATTTTCACGAAACCTAGCACACATCATTCTAGGCTTAATTCAGTACGCTGTGCTAAATTTCGTGCCAATCGAAAGATATTAGGGACATTGGTGCACCATTTACCTTAAATCAGACGAAAATATATATGGGAGATATATCTAAATCTGAGCCGATTTTTCCCAATTTCAATAGGGCCAAATAAATGAGCTGCGCTAAATTTCATCCAATTCGAATCATAAATGCGACCTGTACTTTGTTTACAATTTAACATGGACAGACAGACGGACGAACGGACATGCATAAATCGACTTATCGATTCTATGCATATTCTCAAAAGGAATCCTGTGCCTATCTCGTTTCCTTTTGCCTTTTACAAACATATGCACAAATACATAATACCCTGTACCACAGTGTGGTGAAGGGTATAGAAATACACGCCTGTTCTAGAGCTTAGAAAAATATTCGTTAAAAAGACCACGGCTATTCTAGTGCCTAGAAAAATATCCTTTAAAAATCCACGGCTATTCTAGCGCTTAGAAAAATCTTCTTTAAAAAAACCAGTGAGCGGAGCCTATACAACTTCCACGGAACTCTAACTTTCTGCGGATGTTTATTCTGAGCCTGGGCACCCTCTTGCCCGATTAGAGGTCAACAGCACCTCTATCTTACACTGAGATATGTTTCGATTATTAACAATATACAGTACAGCCCTTCTAATTACTTGTCCAGATTCCCCTCACCGTGGGTTGTGTTTTGTGTATGTTCGGCTTATAACTGTGACCTACATATCGACTCGAAATAAAACACAGAAAAAATTAAGTCTTCGGTCCACTACATCCCAAAATTATTTGTCCTTGACAACTGGAAAATTTCAGAGCGACCAGCGCCATATTTCTGCCCTCTAGTGTGGTAATGG